TGTGTGTGTGTGTGTGTGTGTGAAGTGTGATTGGTGACACTGTTTAAGGTTGGCACAATCTCCGACCTGTCTGCACAGTGGACACACATGCATATAAACTATTAGCAACACAAACACACACTGTGTCTGGTCCAGTTGCTTTGGGTACAAGGCCTTTATCTGAGTGCTATAAATTGTCTCTGTCTGACACAAAAATAAAGCTTGGATAGAAAAACACTTGGTCAGTGCTGTGCGTGTGTGTGTGTGTGTGTGTGTGTGTGTGTGTGTGTGTGTGTGTGTGTGGCTGGCAGGAAGGGAGTGGGTGGTGATGGGCGTTTGATACATGGCACCACTTTCTAAAGGCCTAGAGGGTGGGCTGCAGCTGTGGATGAATGTGTGGGACAAAGACAGAGAGTGTGTCTGTGACTGTGTGTGTGGGTGTGGAGCTGCCAGAGAGACGGGAATATTAAAAGACAGCCAGAGAAATGTGTGAGTCTGCTCAGGTTATGAAACTATTAAAAATTAAGCAACAGATATTATACCGCACCACGTGTGTGTGTGTGTGTGTGTGTGTATTTAGCTACTCTCAGACATGAACTGAACTTGGACATTTCATAAAATGTTCTGAGGGGGTTGTGTGTGAAAACACAAATGTCCGAGTCAGTTGCTCCAGGTTTCTTTTTCCTGCCAGCCCCGAGTCTAGAAAAGTCTGGAAAATGTCCGAGTGAGCCCATAGAGAATGTCCAGAAAAATCACTCTGAGTGAGTGGGCGTGTTTCTAACACACAACAGACACGAAACTAAACTAAAACACTATTTTATATATTTCAGGATATAATTTATACCTCATGTCCTGTCTCCTACCCAGGTACCACCCCTCACCTAAATGTTCCAGAGATTATTCTTTTGGTGTGAACGTGTGAAACACAAACTGTTCAAATCTGAAAATGTCTTCAGTGTGCGTGTCTCCACCTACCTGCCACTTTCAGCCCACTCTGAGAAGTGTGGGTGATCGGGGACGTGACTCCCACGGGTGGGTTTCTTCCTTTCTTCAACATGTTTCCTTGACCCAGGGTTTGAGGCTTCTTCAGTTCGCCTTTACCTCCTTCCAGCCCCTCACCCTGCTGCGGCCTCGTCTTTTTCCATTTATTGGCCGATTCGGACTTGAGACTTCCTGTGTTGTAGCCGCTACTGCCCTGGCTCTTGCGGCCAGGTTTGGCATCATCGGTGTCCCACGACAGGCCGCTCTCCACCAAAGATCGCTTCTCCGCATCTGTTCGCATCTACAGAGGGACAGAGACACATACTATGAGACCGTATGTTGACAGAATGTGTAAGAATTCAGTGTGTGAGATTAAACTTAAAGACTGTGGAGATAAAATATATCTGTGTCTCCGGTTGTCTAAATTACAAGGTATGAATTTCCCTGCCTGTCTAATTTTAAGGCGACCATCTTTGTACTAGAATCATGTAACCCTCGAAACCCCACCTAAATAATACAACTGTGTGACTCAAAATCTAGCCTGTGTGATTCAGTGCATGTCACAGAATTGGCTCAGGAGAATGGGATGAATAATGCTGTGTAACAAATCTTTTATGGAAAAAAAAACACTGTATCCCTTCTATTCTGTACTAAAGTGTTCACAGAGGAACACAGTTATTGGGATAGATATTAGGTTAGAGCCTCAGACTCCCTCTGAGCAGGAAAAACATGTCTGACCCAGTCAACCTAAAAACTCACTCACTGATGTCTCATCTTCCCCGGCTTAATCCTATTGTATGCTCTGGTTGAACACTTCAAACGAGAAGTGGACAGAAACGGCAAGGGGAGGAACTGCCCACAAATACACGTGTGTACTGTGCACACACCACACACTGACCACACAGATCTAAGATCAGACACAAAGACTCCCACACACTTGACTTACATATAGAGACAGCACAGCCTTGACATAATCCAATAAGAAAGAATGTCGAATGTGAAACTAAAGTAAATGTGAAACCCATGACTGAAGGTCTTCTGTGTGTGTATGAGGCGAATACACAACATATTTAAAGGAACAGTGTGTGCGTGTTTATGGATGACTATAAGAGGACGCATATGACAGAGGATTAAACACCCACTGTGGGGGACTGACAGTTACACAATGCATCAGGAGGTGTGTGTGTGTGTGAGTTTGTGTGTGTGTGTGCCAGTGCAGGACATTGCACCCAACATGCAGTTCCCATGAAAGCTCATATGCTGAATTCCTTTTTTATTAAAACCAATAGACCCCATGGGCAGGTTCACATCACACGAGGAGGAGGAGGTATGTGTGAGTGTGTGTGTCCTGTCTGACCAGTTGATAAAACATTGTCATTTCCTCACACACATTCCCTGATTATTAAAACAAGGAGGGGGGGGTGGTCAGAAAGTCAGGACAAAACATGGATAACAATGCAAACAGGTGGACAATGAGACAGATGGTCAGATGAAAACACACATGTACAATAGTACAAAGTGTATTAACTTGAGTAATTTGTCCGTCTCCCTGTGGAAATGAGGAAATTCGGGTTTTTGTACCACCCACATGGACCACCACCACTTTCTGGCTGTGATTCTAACTTCCTCTCCCTCCAACATGTCTTCTTTGCGCGTCCTTTCTTTATTACCCTTCTCCCCCTCAACCTCATATCTCTGTTGAGCTTATTACAAAATACGTGGGAGGGGAGAGGAGAGGATGTTAAGCAAGTGGGAAAATTAAAATCAACAGGAGACAAAGACAAAGAGAAACCGAAGAGAAAACATCAGCTGCCATCAGTGAGAGAAAGAGGAGCCATGCGTATTTGACGATAGCGGGTGCCTTATGAGGTGATGGTTTGTTGCCATGGTAATGATGCCATGGGGGGTAATGGTTGCTATGACTCCAGTGATTCGGCGTGGAGGGAGGCGCCCCGGTTCTTCCAGCTCGCTGGCCTGGATGCTGGACTGCAGATGGTCCTGTGTGTGTGTGTGTGTGTGTGTGTGTGTGTGTGNTGTGTGTGTGTGTGTGTGTGTGTGTGTGTGTGTGTGTGTGTGTGTGTGTGTGTGTGTGTGTGTGTGTGTGCAGATGGCCACACTCTAGACCTGTCCTTCAATATATATGGTAGAAGACAAAGACCTGCGCTGTCAGCATCCCTGTGCTTTGGTTGCCATGGTTTCCCCTCTCCCTTCAAACTCCCTCTGTCTCTCTGCCTCTGAAATTCAACTGCATCAGTCATATGAGCCTCATGGTGGAGGTGTGACCTAAATCAGACTCTTTCACACATACATAAACACAGACACACAAAGCCACAGAGCATCAGATGGATCTTAAAGATCTGCTGCTCTCTCTCTGTCATGAGTGTGTTGCGTTGCATGTACTTACCACAATGGTCGAGTTCCTGCGGGAGCCGATGGGAGTGGTGGGAAGTGAGTTGAGAGTGGGACTGGTGTTGAATTCTTCGGAGCTCAGGTTGTCTGAGCCATCACTGAGGCCGCTGCTGATGGAGCTGCTCTCATCCCAGCTACAAGAAACAACGACAGAGAAGAAGTGTCAGGCAACATATTAAAGGAGTGATTTCCACCCAGGGGTATTGTTTGTGCTGCAAAGCTGAACAATCCGTTCAAACAATTGGATACAAGTAATGGATAATGGTTTAAAGGAGTCAGATGACCACACAGACCTAAACGTTGACAGTTCAGTTGTGTGAATCCACTTGACTCTGTACTTAGTGTCACACATTTGAAACATGACAGGAGGTGCCAGAGAAGAGATGCTTGAGTTCATGTGATAGGGCGGCGTTGGCATGTCTAAAAAAAGATGGGACTAATGTACTGAAGGGTCACAACTACGAGAACGATGCAATGTCCCTCCTAACACATACACCATTATCAATTAATAATTAACTTCAATTAAGTTTAACCCAGACAGTAGGGTGAACTGTTCAGATGGTTAGAGGGGGATTAGCCCCACCAATTAAATCAAAACAGGCCTATATATATTCAATGGTGTGCTCCTATTTTTGGTACACAGATTTGGTCATTGGTCAGAAGGAGTCTCATTCAACTGTTCAACCTGAGTTTAATTCCTCATCTACCCCTTCATTTTTAGGGTGATCCTGAATGCACTATGGTTTAAGGGTGTTTGAAGGGCAAGATAGTCACTTGATTGCCACTACCCCTACATCACATAGAGATCACAATGGCCACGTTCAAAACAAAGGAGACAGGCCCTAAGTCCCAAAGCCATCGAGCATGCACCTATGAGCCAAGTGTCTATGATAAGGGTAATGAACCCCTGTGAGCGTATACAGTAGCTAATAATGATCACTAACATCAACATGGATCACATAAACGTGCTCATACCTAAGAATATCTTAGAAAACCAAGGAATCTGTGTCAGATATCTCCCCGAGTGTGTTCAGTGCATGAAATACCCACCAGCTCAGTTACATCAGCCTTTGGCTCCGTGTTGTCTCGTTTGTCTTTTGATTAAATATTCATAGACGCAGACCTCATTTAGAAAGCTGCCTGCTCTATATACCTAACTTTCACACTGCCTGAAACTTGGCAAACTGCAATTCAGAGCACTCTTGACATTATCTCAACCCACACGCACATAAAAATAGCACTAAAGAACATATACACTGATGCTTGCGCCCACGAGTGCATGTAGGAGGAGAGTCTGAGCCAGGACTGTGAAGTCTGTCCACATGGCACATATCTGCTTAGTTGTATGTCTTTTTACCACACGCATTTTTTACTTAAATATTAGCAATCCTTGATGTTCAATGCTTTCCTGGATGAATATTATTAAACACTATTGTATGGCCTCAGTGTATATCTGTTTTTTTCTAATGCTGATTGGAATGTTTTTAGTCCTGGCCGTGCCCCTGTTTATCTCAGTGATTTGAATTTAGAGTACAGAACATTCCTGTCTTCAATCTCATAATTTTGGGCCAAAAGTGTGAGGATCACACGTATGGCCCCATGGCCTGCTGCTGCACTTATTTCTTTAAAAAAAAGAATCTTACAACATACTTGCTCCATCTGGCTTTCAATCTGAATCTCACATTTCTATATTCATGTATTTTACTCACACCAATGAGGTTGTTTTCATCTGCGTTTGTTAGATAGTTAGCAGTATTACAAAAAACTACTCAACTGATTTCCATGACATTTTTAAGAGGAGTGGGGCATGACACAGGGAAGATTTTATTATAATTTGGTGCGGATCCTGATCAGGGGCTGGATCGTGGAATTTATTCCACTTTCTATAATATTGTCGGGTAGGACGTTTCCCAACATTTTCTTTAATTTCTCAGAGCTGAGAATAGGTGAGGTGTTACTTTTACTATATACTATAACACAAAAGAGTCAATTGAATCTTATGCTTCTTTGACAATGGATTCCTTAGTGTGGCCCGTGAGATTTAAAGTGAAGATTCAAGTGATTCAGTTATTGGTGGCGTCAGGAGTTTGAAGCTATCTGACGACTCAACAGTATCAAATAGTAAAGCTGCAGTAATGTGAGAGATCAGGTCATATAAACCTCAAGAAATAACTGGAACAAATCTGTCATCCAGCTCGGCACAGTGACCTGCAGGGGTGAGGAGGTGGGGGGGAACAGGGGTACACGTGTGAGGCGTTTGGGTGCACATTGGCCTGTGTACATTAAATAGGTCATGTTGAGGAAGTCAGGGGGGTTGGGTTTTGTTCTCATTAGGGTCAATAAGTTAGACCAATATCATAGGATACTGTAAAGCAAGTCGAGAGGGTGGGGTTTCCCTAATGAGGTCATGTATACTGTGGCACATTGGAGGATGGAGAGGAGAGAAAGCGGCGTAGGCCTTCCAGTTGGGTGCCTGTATGGGTCACACTGCACCCTGGGGGACTTTACGGTGGGGACCGGGGGGGAGAGGGGCGAGAGCGAAAGTCCTCCCTGTCTGGCCTGTGGATATTAGACATTAAAAAAAGACAGAGCAGACGAGATTTTAAATCTGGACTGTCCCTTGTCTATATGCCAGACTAAGATTAAGGCCAACTTTGATTGAGCCAGACACACAGAGAGCCAAGCTACACTTTCTGTCTTAATGTGAAATGCTTCAACACTCAAACAAGTTGGAATAAAGTGTTGTAGTGGAAAGATAGAGGGTATTTGTGCATCTCTAATTTTAACAGAAGTGATTTTTATTTGTGAAAGGCCGCATGGAAACAGATAAATTAAAATAAAATTGTGACTTTTTTTTATCTTTAAAAATATTTTTACAAGGATTTTATGGGATGAAATAAAAAAGGAATATCTATATACAACAGTGTTTGCAGGGAAAACATGCAGAATTATCTAATCAACAAGCAGATTATTTTACAGCAAAATATGCAGAGATTTAACAACTTTCTAGGATGTAGTTTTGCTATCAAAGCTGATCTTGATCGCTGTTTCATACTAGATTGCCATGGGCCCTTTATTACACACATACAATAGACATTGAACTCATACAGAGGTCGATTCATCGGCTCCAAAATTGTTTGCATGCATGTGTCCATTGTTAATTTTCCACTAAACAAGCCCTTTACTGGGAATTAAACGTCCAGTCAGGAGATAGAGCAGCTGTGTTTTCACCATAAAACAATACCTGCCTCTTTGTCTCTTGTTTTTCAGAGCTATCTATGTGTGCACCAGTGCTTTCGTGAATGATAATGCCCTCTCTGATGAATTATTAAGACGTGATAACAGTGCAAACAGTCTCTGCAAGGTTGGATTGTCACTCAGCTGTCCGATGTGAAGAAAAGAGAAGATACTTATAGAGGACATGAAAAGATACAAAATCAAGTATTTGAAATCACAGAACTTGGTGGAGAGATGACAAAAGCTGCTAATTGATTGTTTTGATGAGACCAAAAGACAGAGGCTGAAGGAGAGTAAAAGAGTAAATGAGAGTTGAGATGATGTGGACGCCAGGAAGAATCTCAGGAATCATGTCACAGTGTGATTTTCAAAACAACTGTGTTGGCAATAAGTTAGAAAGCCTTCAGCTTTGATGGGTCAATGTTATGTTATGTCAGTTCTGTTAGATGGAAATCTTTTCTCGAATTCTCTCAACTTTAGACCATATAGCTTGAAGGTCTTGAGACAGTAAAAGTTGATCCAGGTTTTTGAAAAACTGATTTCCCCTGAAAAAAAACTGAGATCCTCGATCAGCGCAGACACAAATCTGGCTCCACCAGCTCCTTTATACTCCTCCATCATCAACTCCACTGGGTGACATGAAAGGAAGGCAGTGCTTGAAGGGAGGCCGATGAAACACAAGAATACTCCAGAGAAGAGGGTGAAGTGGTATGTGGAGAAAGAAAAAACTGAAATGACTTGGTATGAAAAAGAGAGCTTTAGAGGACGGAGAAGTGACAGAGAGTATCACCTCAACTTCTCAGGACGCGCTGCGCTCTCTTAAGACGATTGTCTCTCATCTCTTCATCACTTCCACCAACTCAGCTCCTCCTCCTCAATCCTCTCCATTATTACTTCCTTTAACAGCAGCTGCTGAAATCTGCTGCTATAATCTCTCCTCGCTCCGCCTCAACTTTTTCATTCCCCCGCAGCAGCTGCAGAGACTGAGGGATAATATTAGCAGCTAATTCATCTACATTGCCCCTCTATCAGATTAGCTAGTGTCTCACAGCTAGCCACTTCCCAATCCTTGTCACATTTATATTCATTTTAATGAGCCTGACCCACCGTTCAGCTTCCTCCAAAAAGCTACTACCACTCAGCTACAGCGTGATAACACATTCTGAAAGAGCTGGATCTTTCACCAGCAACGTTACATATATATAACAAATTAAATAATGGATTTCATGAAATTACATCAGCATGTGGTGCTTATATAGGTCACTGTCCTTTTGTGACTTTAGACATGATGGCAAGTTCAAGAACAAAGGAAAGGATCAAGACGCTGAGGAATTGTATCCTATGACTATAATGGTATAAGCAAAATGAATGAATCAATGGTGATTTGATTTAGGCCGCAATAAATGTCAATTAAACTGAGATGCACTTGATTAAACTCATTCTTCACCTTCACCTGACCGATAATCTTTTTTTCAGTGCACCATGTGCAGAACCAGATCCAGCTGAGCAGAGAGTTTGCCACATGGACACAGTGTATTCTGCCAGCTACACACAAGTGGTTTCCTACTCTGTCTTCACTCATGACGTTATAACTGCACCGCAAATTTAAAAAAAAGCCACAGTCAAGCATTCTGTCATCTGTCCAGAGCAACCTTATCATTTCATCATCTCTCTGGCTGCTGCGAACTGCAGAATATTTTAAATGGTTTGAATACTTCTATTATTTACCACATTATAATAAAGGTCACAATTGTCAATGTGCACCACATCCTCCTGTCACAGAGACATGACTTCTTTGTTTCTGTCGAGAGGTCCCACACCCACACAAACACTGAGCCTCATAAGAACGATTGAAAATCTGCAGTCGAGCTAAAGAGTTTAAGAAGCAGAGTCCGTC